TAGATAGATGGCTATCTTGGCTAATGGAAGAGAGTGTCCTGGGAAGCTAATCCCCTAAAGCCCCCCTGATCTTTAAGTCTCCAGTAGATAGTTAATGATCTGCTTCTGTATGAGGTAATGCATAGCTGTACCTGCAGTGTTGCACGTACTCAAACTGCATATATTGGTGAGGAAAAATAAACTCAGGGCTTCACCATCAGTGAAGACCGGCCGAATCAACAATTGAGTGAGTGTCTCTTTCTTTAATTCCCGCTCCCCCCTTCAGGTACTGATCGAATTGTGGCGGCTGGTCCGTCATATCTTATGAAGGAAGATAAGGTGCAGATAAAGGAAAGACTTCATAATTAAAATCAGAAACAAATCAGAAGCCTAAGTATTTGGGCTCAGATTGGCACAAAGAAGAAGAATTCAAACACATGTTTCTGGAGGGCCCCACTCCCCATGTCTGCCCACACACAGAATAAGAGCCATTCAGACAAGCGACCTTTGGACAACAGAAATGACACAGTGAGAGGATGCCTATCCCTCTGAAACTACACATGCAATCAGAGTAATCCCCATCCTGTTGTTGCTCCTGCCCCCTGTTCCACAAGCGTCACTTAATTGAGAACACAGAACAAAGCAGGGCTCGGATTCTATGCAGAAGAAGAGGGGTTCCTGAATACAGATAAGCTCTGATTGGTGGCATACCAGTTCGAAGCTCAGCAGCATGGCTTTCAGTCTTCTAATCTCTTCTCTGAGTTCTCTGATCAGCTTTATGTTTGCATCCTGAAACACAGAGACCTCAGTCACCATTCGTTGATATCAGGCCCCAAAGAGCTGTAAGATGCTACACGCAATTAGCTTGGAAGAAGTGGATTACTCCTTTGGGGTACCTTCCGGAGCAGTCTTCTCAAAGCGTGGTCCCAGGACCAGCAACAACTTGTTAGAAACGCAAATTCTGTGCCCACCCAATGCCTACTAAATTAAAAACTCTTGAGGACTGGGGCCCAGCTGTGGTTTAACAAACCCTCCAGGTGATTCTGATACACACTGAGGTTTGAGAATCACTGCCCTAGAGCAGGAGGTCAGACAGGTAAGGTAACACAACTGCCAAGGCATGTATAGGTAGTAGGTGCTAATTTTCCTGTATTGTGACTAAACTTAGTACCTGCCTAATTATATTGCCTTTTAAAAGAGTCCATAGATGGGCTATATCTGTCTGGCCACCAGATTGTGGTCCCTGCCCTGGAACTCTTCACTGAAATTGCTATGCACAAAAGGGATTTTTGAAATATTCTCATTATTATTCAGCTTTCGAAACAAATGAATTCATTATATACCTCTTTTAGCCCCAAAACAGAGAAGTCACTGCAATTCGCATAGAAAAAAAAAAAAAGCATACGTCAACATAAACTCAAAATTGAAGCAATAAATACAAAAACTTTTAAATGCTCTTTCTTAGAGTAGCAATGGTGTACCAAGGATGTTGGGAGGAATGGCCTTAGAGAAATATCTAAAATAAATTATTCATAAAAGATTATGAATGAAATCAGTAGAGATATGAGAGAAGGGTATGACCACAGGAACAAAGAATTTCACCCCCTTACCATTTGGGGAATAAGTCTGACAAATTGGGGTAAGCACTAAAGGATAGAAATCAATGAGGAAGAAAAGGAGAATTTTATGCAAACTAGACCAGACCAGGACTTCAGAGGAACGTCTCACCTCATTTACCCGTGGCTTATTGATGATGTTCTTGGCATTGGATGCATATCTCAGTGTGCTCATGGTCTCACTGTAGCTAGTGTGTGCAGGAGACACGGCTGAGACAGAAGAAGAAAGTTAAAAAATACGCTAAGCCCTCTGGCCCAGCCCATGACCACTTGCCTTGCTATCATTCACGCTGTATGAGACCCTCGCGGAAATGGGTGGTCATGGCCCTTTCTCTGAGGCAGAGTGCCAGCCCCAAGACAGAACCACCTCCACTTTTCCACTCACTGGCAACCATGATGGTTTTGGAGTTGCCTCCGAGGCTGTCCTTCAGCAGCCAGGTCAACACGGAGTCCCGGTAGGGGATGTAAGACTGCCTCCGGGAGGGTCCCCCTCTGCCGCTGGTCCCAGGAGAGCTAGGAATCCCACTGTCACCACCATCACTGGTTACACTGTTGAGGCTCTGGCAGCTGCTGAATACTTGAGAGTTCTGGGCTTAAAAGACAAAAAATAATAAAAGTGGAAGACAAAAGGAATTCTGAAACCAATATATTCAAACAAATCAATGGCTGTGGAGCAAAGATTTAAGTATCACACTTCCTAATCCCTTCCTGCATATGATAGGATGCTTTAAGTTTGAGCCTTGAATTAGATTTTGGATTCATGACATGGAGTATCTGAGCCACACGATTTTCCAGTCTCCCTTCTTTCTGAAATGAGAATGCTGGGATGATGGTTACACTGTGTTCTACAACCACAGACAGATATCGTCTTTATGCCCTAAACCAGAAGGTAACTATATCAAAAAGAACCCTTGTAAGTATCTACCCCATTTTGATAAAATTATGTGAGCTATTTTCCGAAGTTTCTCTCCCACTCTGATGACCCAGTCTATCAGTCCAATACCTAAGGTGGAGATGACAATTCCTAGAGTCACGAGAGACTTGTTGATATTGGCTCCTTCGGTAATCCGGTCCTTACAGTAACTGGGGTCCGCTCTTTCACTAAAGTAGACAACAAAAAACAAAAGCAAAGAAGATAACACTATCCTTATAATGCTGTTCAAAGATACTATCCAGTATGTTGTACATCATGTAAAAGACCCACATAATAAATTCCTTTTAGAATTCAATTCCAGAAAAAAAATGTTACCATCTTATAATGAACAGGCATTCTGCTTTTCAGGCAAAAATCAAACAATTCATTACATTTGTGATTTTATTTTGGCGGCTGAGCATTTTCAGCTAAATGTAATACTCATTTACAATAATGATATTAGCATAGCTTTTTGGTATATTCACTTCCACGCTACCTTTTTTCTATTTCACATATTAATGGCTTTATGGTCTCTGTGTCATTAACTGTCAACTGTCTCAAATTCTTTTTAAGTAAATGGAAAACATTAAACATTTACACTTCTGATTGGCTGATATAAGCTTCTTCCAGACAGCATTTAGTTTTCAAGGGACTGCTGTACCATATTAATTATTTAGCAGTTTTAAAATAAGAAAATTTCCTTATTTCATCTTATATATTTTTTGTGTGTGACATTATCCTCAAGGCTTTCTTCTTTCTGGATATATAAGTGACTATAATTCATGCTTCCTTCTAATACTGTAAAGGTAGTATCTTCTCCCCAATATCACAGTATTTTTTAAAGCTTTTATTGTTTTAGTAATGTACAGAGCTACATAAAATCAATACTAAATCAAAGGGAAAACAGTATGCTAACTCAGTTTCCTCTTTTTAAAGCAGTGGTTTTCCATCTTGGCTATACATTGGAATCTCCTGGGCAACTTTAAAAACTACTAATGCCTGCACTCCCCATGACTTATTTGATTTATTGATCATCTGATTTATTAATAATCTGATTCACTGGGTCTGAGGTCCAACCTAGGCACTGGGAGTTATAAAAGGTCCCAGGTGATTTTACTGGGCAGCTAAGATTGAGAACCCCTGACATAGAGCTTTTCAGCCCTTGGAAAACTCTAATTTCTTAACCTAGCATTAAAAAAAATTTGTGACTTTTGTTAATTTTCTTAGAATGATTGTAATGTGAAAAAAGTTGGAACAAGTTTATTTCCTTTAAAATGGGCAAGAACAAGATCATTGTCAAGGTAGCATTTCCCTTGGCTTTGAAATCCTAATTACCTGCCTGCTAGGTCCACAAGGTTGATCTTGCTAGCGATTTCAGAGGGGAGGTTGTTCTCCAGGATTGCCTAAGGGAGAAAACACATTTAAAGCTTGTCATTTGGAACAAAGTGGGTTTTTTCCCCTTCGACACCCTCCTAACCAAGGTAATATTTGGAATTTTTAGCCAACTCCTTAAAAGAAAATCTATATTCGAATGTGCTCTGAACCAGATGAGCTCTCAATATCTGATAGATACGATCAGTAAGCTCTGGGTCCTTTCTTCTTTAAAAATATAAGCAGGACTTCCAGAGGGTGGGCAAAAACCCATGAAGTCATCTGGGCACAATTTTTAGGGGCACCAGGAATTTTACTACAATTTACCAAGCAAATGCTCAACTTCCCTCCAGGTGGCTCTGACTCTCACTGGTTGATATCCATAGCAAATGGGGGTTTATCTCTTTGTTAACATGAGTCACAGCACACTAACCTGCTAGGAAAAGCACTCTGCCTCTCTATGTCCTATTCTAGGAGCATTCAGTTGTCAAAAGCAAAACTATTTTTCTTTCTTTTTTTTTTTTTTTTAATTCAATGTGGTGTTTTTTGTTGTGTTTTGTTTTGATGTTGTACCTGCATCACCAAAATCCAGTTTTAAAACATTTCCCCGATTCCTTCGTCTGCTTGCCATCTAGCAACATTTCCACTCCCAGCCCCAGGCAACGACTCATCAATATCGTATCTCTATAAATTTGCCGTCTCAGGATATTTCATACAAATGGAATCATACAATTTGGAATCATACAATTTCAGGCTTCTTTCACTGTGCATAATTATTTTGCGATTCATACATGTTGAGGCATGTATAAATAGTTAATTAATTTTTATTGCTGAATAGTATTCCATTATAAAAATATACCATGGCTTGTTTAGCCAGTAACTTCTTTTTTTTTGGAAGAATTTTATGGTTTTATTAAAACGCAATTTGCACACAAGCTGGCTATTCATTTTCTTCACTGCGCAGCCTGGCATTGGGATTGGTGACTGATGGCCAGCTGGGCTGCTCTTTCCACAATGGCTTTGCGGTTCTTGGAGGAGACGTTGTGAGCAATCTCAGCACAGTAAGATTTGTTGCACATCAGCAGCACGTCAAGCTCCTTGACACTGTAGACCAGGAACTTCCGAAAGCCACTGGGCAGCATGTGCTTTGTTTTTTTGTTACTCCCATAACCAATGTTGGGCATCAAGATCTGGCCCTTGAATCTCCTGCGCATCCTATTGTCAATGCCTCTGGGTTTTCGCCAGTTACACTTAATTTTGACATATCGGTCTGACTGGTGCCGGATAAACTTCTTGGTCCTCTTTTTGACGATCTTGGGCTTCATGAGTGGTCTGAGGGCAGCCATGATACCGAGTAAAATATGAGCGCCACCTCTGTAGGCAGCGCAGAGGAAGAGAGGGGGAGGTGGTGTGCGAGGGCCCTCCAGTAACTTCTTGATGAACATTTAGGTTGCTTGCAGTTTTGAACAATTACAAATAAATTTTGTAACTTATTTCAATATATGAATATTTTGTACAAGTACAAATGTGAATATTTGAATATTTGTGTACAAGTGTTTGTATGGACATATAATTTCTTTTTCTTGGGAAAATACTTAGGAGTAGAATGGCTAGATCATACTTATGTAATCTTTTATATTAACCCACATATTTACCATTTTGAGCACTTTTCATTTTTTCCTATAGACTTAGTTACTGTCTGATACCACTTTCTTTTAGTCTGAAAGATTTCACTTAGTTTTCTTGTAAGGTAGGACTGTTAGCAATGAATTTTTTTCCTCTTTTTTTTTTTTTCAGTCTAGAAATGTTCTTATTTCATCTTCATTTTTGAAAGCTAGTTTTGCTGCTTATAGAATTCTTGGTTGACAGTTTTCTTTTCTTTCAGCACACTGTCTAGGGTCCAATGTTTCTGATGAGAAGTCAGTCATTAATCATGTAACTGTTATCCTGTATATGATGAGTCATTTTTCTCCAGCTGTTATCAAGATTTTCTCTTTCTTATTCAACAGTTTGACTATGATGTGTCTAGGTGGCTATCTGTGTTTTTTTACTTGGAGTTTTTATGCTTCTTAGATCTGTAAGTTAATGATTTTCAACAAATTTTTCAGTCACTACTTTTCAATTTTTTCTTGTCTATTCTCTCTTTTGAATTGGCATTATACTTATGTTGGCAGACTTGATGTTGTTCCATCGGTCTGTGTGGTGGCTCTATTCATTTTTCTTCAATCTTTTTATTTCTCTTCTTCAAATTGGATGATCTCTATTTGTCTATCTTCAAGTTTACTAATTCTTCTGCCATCTCAAATCTGCTATTGAATTCTACTGGTGAACTTTTCATTTCAGTTGTACATTTCAATTCCAGAATTCCCATTTTAAAAAATAATTTCTATAATTTTATTGAAATTCCATAGTCATCGTTATCATGTTTTCCTTTAATGCTTTACATGGTGTCCTTCAGTTCTTTAAACCTATTTATATTAGCTGCTTTGAAGCCTCAGTATGCTAAATTCAACATCTGGAGGACTTAAGAGTCAGTTTCTATTGACTTTTTTTCCCCCTAAGTATGGGTCACATTTTCTTGTTTTTGCATATCTAATAATTTTTGGTTGAATACTAGATATTTTAGAAAATACTGGGGGTACCCCCAAAAATGTATACACATGACTTGTATTCATCTTTTGTTATCGGTATATATTGAGTATTACAATTTTAATACAGTGTTTTCCTTTCTTAAAATGTATATACATTTTTTTGGCACCCTCTGTATATTGTGACAATTATGGATTATGATTTTTTTCCTATTGAGGGTGGTAGTGATTGTTGTTTTGTTTGGCAACTTGCCTGGACTAAATCTTTAATATGTATCTCCCCACAATATGTAGCTAAAGAGGTCTCTGTTCAGTTTTTATCCTTACTTGTTTTTAATTTTAAGCTTGGCTTCTTAGGGGCCACCTTGTATCTGCATAGCTTAGTGTTCAGCCAAAGAGTGGTCAGAAGTTGTAATCAAACACCTGGAGCCAATAAGTCTTCTATTCTTTATTAATGGATCTCTGTGAGGAATGAATTAAAAGTTCAGGTGGTTTTTAAGTTTACACCAGCATTCACTAGCCACAGGGCCCTTCTGTGTCTCTTCTACACATGTGTGCAGATTCTGCCAGTCAGTGTTGTGTGGCTGGCTTGGGCCTGCATAGTCTCTGCTATGTATGTGCACAGCTTCTGTTCCTTAGGATATGTGAGGATCTTATCAAGTCCCCTGTGGCTGTATCATCTCCCCAATCCCCGGATATATCTCTAGATAGTCTGCCAGTTCATTTCTTGCCTGAAACAGACCTACAATCTCAGGCCAATGGAGCCACTGGCCCTCCTTGTTCGCTTGCCACCAAGAGCACCACGTTAACTGGTGATGCTCTAAATCAACACCTCTGGCGGTGGCAGCAATAGCGTTGCTGGTTTCACAGCCGTCCCTCCCCTGACTGAACTGCCTCACTGACAGAGACTGGGTGTGGGCAGGGAGGAGAGCAGCCCAAGGCAATACACCAAACATGTGTACTGTTCTTACCTGCAAGTGTTTTCTGGAATACATTCTTCTCAGTTCATTATATGCCTGTGATCCGTTTTTAGAACTGCGAAGTGGTTGCTTTTGACAGTTTTGTCCAGCTTTATAGTTGCTTTTTAGGGATAGGATTTGCTGACCTCCTCACTCCATCATAATGGAAGTGAATCTTCTACTTTTTCATTTTAATGCTTATTTTCATTTCAATCTTGCTTTTTGTTTTAAGTGCCCATACCGATGATATAGATATGAAAGTGCTTTGAAATGTCAAAAGTAAAATATAAGTAGAAGATATTCTTATTAGTCTTTATAAAATGCCTCTACCCCTCCTAGATATATATAGCTTAATAGAGGGCATGTAGGTCCTCCTTATATTAGGTCACAACAGAGGACCTATAAATGGAAGAGTAGGAGGAAAGGAAAAAGAAATAAGACAAGAAAGTAGTCAAAAAGGACAAGGAGAGGGAGAAATCTAAACAAATATAAAAGGTAACCAACCTGCGCATAGTGGATAGTGAAGATGGCATGGGATCTGCTGCTGGCCTCATGAACATGGGTGGCTGCTGTGATTCTGTGTATACAAAGCAAGGCAGTTAGGACAAGGATTGTTTATGCAAGGTGGATCTTTAAAGATCCATGGGGAACACAAGAAGTGTTAGTGCTGAGGTTCACAGATAAGAATCATAAAACATCCATGTTTAGTCCAGTATAGTTAGGAGAGTGGTCCAATGAGGGCAGAAGCAGCACTCTAGGTACTAATATCTGAGCATAAAAGGGAATGTATCTTTATGCTAAACTACATTAGAACTTTTTTTTAAGCAATAGAAGCAAAAATCAGAGTTGAAAAGGGGAATACTAAAGAGTCATTAACCTGAAGAATATCCCCAGGGCAGACCCACTAAATAAGACAAGTGGAGGTAGAGAGCTTGCTGGAGCAGAAGCCTCAAGAACAGGGAACGTTGTGATTAAATACAGAATGTTATCTTATAGTGCCAAAATGGCCTTTGAAATGAGATCTTGAATTACATCAAGGAAATGAGATCTTGAATTACATCAATGTTGGATGGAATTCATAATCTCCCTTAGAAATGTATTGCCATGTTAAATCAGGAGAGCCTTCCCTTTGTCCAAATCTAAGTTAATCATGCTTTAGTTTATGGCCATCACATTGACTTCCATTCTCAGAGGAACCAGAGAATTGAAGGAGAGTCAAAATCTACAGGCTGCTCTCATGATTTACAGGTAAAAAGGAAAGGTGAAGCCTGACACTTCAAAGATCAAGGAACTCAGGGTATCCAGAAAGCCAGAAGCAAGTGCCTCCACGAGACTTCCAGGAAACCCAAGGAGCAGAACGTTAATTTTTTTTTCCTTTATATTCAATTAAGTTGTACCTGCTATCAGGTGAACAGAAGACTCTAAATTCCTCCCCCACAAAAAGAAAAAAAAAAGCTATCTTTTCAGGCATATACTAAGAACATTCTGGGTATTTCATAGTAATTAACATATGGAATGTTATCACAATTTATCGTACAATAGCTTTTAGGAGAGACAACAGCACTTAGTATTTCATAGCAGATTCAAACAGTCTTTTTGGGTAACCTTTACAAGTACGCAAAACTAAAAGAAAAATGGTTTTCTGAAATATTTTACACTGTATGGGTCCTTATCTCTATTAAGCCCAAGGAGAGGACAGTGCAAGCAAGAATCTTTCCCTTCATCAAAATAGCAGTTGTGTATCCTAAGACAAAGCACTGAGTAACTCTCTGGGCTGACTGCCTAGTATTATTATATCCAAAACAAACTCCAGCTTCATTACTAGCGAGAAGAGCAATAAATCTTAGTCACTGCACTACCCTGGGTACAGTACTGTTCTGAGAAAACCATCTTGATTGTGAATGTGGGGAGCTGCAGAGAGAAGTATCATCATAATCATCACACACTCCAAAGGGAGATGAGAACACAGGACAGAAGAATGAGGCTAAAAAGAAGGACAGGAACAAACAAACCTGTTACCTGTTTGCTATTCCCTCCTCCAAGAGTTGAATCACTTGCTTATAGTTGGTAACTACATGTTGAGATAAACCTATCAGATTCGTGAGGGGGGAAAAGATATTAAATAAAAGTTTTGGTAAAGTTTAACCTTTTCCTGTAGGTCTTTATCATTCCTATTTCATATCATTTGATAGACATGAGGGAACTTGCTAAATTCATGCAGATAATAAATTAAATCAACAAATACTTTTTGGCAGCCTACTGTTAGGCATTGCGATAGGCTCTGGGAACATAGGTCTCTGCCCTCACAGAGATTATAGTCTAGAATTCATATAGTAGCTATGCCAACAACAAAAACAATAATAATCCCTTGCAATTTTGCTATGTCGGTTATAAAAAAAATGCTCTCGTGTATTACTTCATTTGGCCCTCTCTAAATTCCTAAAGTATACAGGTGCTATCTTCCCACAAAATGGTAGATTCAGTTTGGCATACAAAATATACAGTACACATGTTGCTATCTTCCCACAGTTTACAACCATAAGAAATTATACTACACAAAACAATCTGGCCACGCGCCACAGGAGTAGACTAGATAATAAATGCTAATTAGAGGAGGAGTCAGGGCAGGCTCCATGGAGGAAGTGAGACCTGAATTTGGCCACTAGAGAATGGGTAGGATTTAGATAAGTGAAGAGTCACTCAAGGACATGAAAGGAAATTTTTATGGCTGGTTACTGACCAACTCAAAAAAGGCCTTCATAACTGTGCTAGAGAATCTCTATAGTAGAGATTCAGTAGCAAAGCAACTTCACAGGCTCATTGCCGAATACAATTACACTAAAAATTAGCAAAGTAATTTGAACATTGACTGGATTTTTATTTTGTATTAAGGAATTATTTAGATGTGATAATAAATTTATGGGGTTTTTTTAATATTCCTTATCTTTTAGGGCTACATACTAAAATATTTACAGATGAATTGATTTGACATCTGGAATTTGCTTCAAAATAATATAGAATGGGGAAAGTGGACAGGGATGTATATAGAGCAGAACTGGCCAAGGGTTAATGGTTATTGTAACATGGGGATTCTTTATAGCAGTCTATTTTTGTGTGTGTTCAAAACTCTCTATAATAAAAAGAGTTTTAAAAATTTAACCAAGGATGGAGACATTCTGCTTATGGTAATAATAGCAAATTAGATATTATAAGCCAATACTTCCATTAAAGACTATTAGAAAAAACTGGACATGGGAATATATCCAAAGAAAACAAAAACATTAACTCAAAAAATTATCTGCACCACCATGTTCATAGCAGCATTATTCACAATAGCCAAGACAGGATAACAACCTAAGTGTCCATCAATGAATGGATAAAGAAATTGTGGTATCTATATTCAGTGGAATATTATTCAGCATTAAAAAAGCAAGGAAGTCCTGCCATTTGCAACAACGTGAATGGAACTTGAAGGCATTAAGCTAAGTCAGACGAAGAAAGACAAATACTGTATGATCTCACTTATATGTGTGGAATTTAAAAAAAAACTCATAGAAAAAGATCAGATGTGTCATTACTATAGGTAGGGGGAAAACTGGAGGAAGGTGGTCAAAAGGTACAAACTTTGTTATAAAATAATTAAGTACTAGGGATGTAATGTACAACAAGATGACTATAGCTCACACTGCTGTATGGTATACATGAGAATTGTTAAGAGAATAAATCTTAAGAGTAGTCATCACAAGGAGAAAAAATATTTTTTGCTTTTTCTTTTTATTGTATCTGTACAAGATGATGGATATTAGCTAAACTTATTGTGGTAATCATTTCACAATATGTGTAAGGCAAACCATTATGCTGTATACCTTAAACTAATATAGTGATGTAAGTCAATTCTATCTCAATAAAACTGGACAAAAATTTAAAAATAAAAGGTCCTGAAACAACAACATAAAAAGCTGGATGAACTATAAAAGACATCCACTTGAAGGCACATAGGAGTAACCAGAAAGCAAAACATTTCTAGGCTAGGGCAGGGAGGTGGTAGATAAGGGAAAACGGGGTCAAAAATATGGTGATAGAAGGAGAATTTACTCTGGGTGGTAAACTCACGATGTGATATATAGATGATGTATAACAGAACTGTACACCTGAAACCTATGTAATTTTACTAACCATTGTCACCCCAATAAATTTTAATTAAAAAAAAAATCACATCAAAATGATCTTTGAAAGGCAATTTGTCAGTGTTTCATTTATCCAACCTCTGAATATTAAATTTTTTAAGTCTTAAAAAAAAAAATTTCCCAGAGAGATAAGGCCAGTATCTGGGGAGAGAGGAAACTACAACTTGCTCCCAGCAAAATAAATGATATTTTTGTTGTTTCCGGGCTGCCATTTATGATGGAATGTTTGGGGAAAGACACTGGTAGTTGAATCATGACTGGCACACCTACTGAGTCATCCATTAGCCATGCCCCAATCAGACAGGAGAGCATCTCTTAATCTTTCATGGCCCTCTCCTTGTTTAAATTAACATATTGGTGAGGGAACAGGAGCATAAAATGTATACTACTTCTTATGAGTGGCCTGAAAGGGTAAAAACTTCCTCCACAGAAGAACCCAATTGTTTCTACTTAATAGCAAGACTTAGTAATAGACTAAGACAGATGATAATTACAGATGATACCAAACATCGAATATGCTTGATGAGGAAACAGCTCAGACCCTGCCCCATGTCTGACATCCTCCCGTCCCCCGATCACCACCAATACAAGACAAAGCACCCGAAAAAGAGACTAACTGGCCTGGGAATCAGTCCAGGCCCTGCTGGATCTGGTACCGCAGACCCAACCTTTTTCCACGCCGCTTTCCCCCTCATTCAACTTGCTTTAGACACACTGGCCTCCTTGAAACCACCAGGCCCTTCTCTCAGGGCTCCAGCTCATGCTGCTCCCCTACCTGAAACACTCTTCCCCTCACAACACCATTCTTCACATGACTGGCTCCTCAGGGTTCAGTTTAACCCTCCATTGGGCTCATGCAAAAATTATGAGTTCGGGCGCAATGCATCTACTAGATGCGTGTGTGACATTTATTTATTTAAATTGAAAATGAATGAAAATAGCATGTAAGCATGCTTACTACTTATTCAGAATGAAATTTTAATTTGCCACAAAGTAAAACAATATGTTTCTTACATAAATTCAGTATAAAAATCAACAGAAATTCAAAACAATCTGTGAGATCAGTTGTGCCCGACACAGGGTTAAAATGTTACTGCCTCAGAGCTTTTCCTGGCTGCCCCATGAAGATGGGATGACTACAACGCCCAGCGTTCTTTTCCATCACTACATCGATTTATTTTCTTATTAGCCTTTCTCACAACTTGTAATTAAGTGCTTGTTTTCTGACTCATCCCCACAAGATTGCAAGCTTGCCTGTGAGGGCAGGACTGTCTTTTCTGTTTATGGCACATATCCAGTGTCTAGTACAGTGGCTGACACAGAGCATGTATTCAGTATACATTTGTTGAATGAATTAATGACCATTAGGAGAGCTTCCCTGGCTCCGGTTTGGCCTCAGACCTCCAGGACCACAGTGGCTCACCTTGTACATAGGGCCCCATCTCTGGGTGTTCCCTGACCCGCAGGGAATAGGACTTTTTTTGATCAGGTGGCTTCAACAGATCCCGCACTCGTTCGTTATAAATTTCCAGAAAACTAGAGACATGCAGAAAAAGGTACACAGTTAGGTTTGGAAGAAAAAAGGCAACAAAATTAGAGTTTGAAGTAAATTGGAAAACACCAAACCAAGAACTACAAGGTCCTAATTGTTCTAGTTCCATCTCTGACATTCTAAGACGTTGATCACACCCGGGTTTCCCCTTGAGTCTCCTTCTACACGTGTACAATAGGGTTTTTGGCTTTGGCTATGAGCACGTCACAGTTTTAGGTTTACAATGTCAGTGCTGATTCAAGTTTAGTCTTTAATAGGCTATTTCCACATGGTTTTAGGGTATACTGCCACCAGCATGTGTCTTGATCAGGCCACCACAGCACAGAGTTTCCAAGCTTGTTTGAAGTGGTTTCCAAATGTGATCTCTAAACTCTGTTATTCTGTGAAGGCATCTCAAGGGACAATGCTGACTGAGCAATGAAGGAAGCTAAGTGATAAGGGTTCTAGTCCCCACCCCTAATTTAAGTGGGACAATTCTCATTTTATCTGTTTTATACATGGACTTCTGTTGATGATAATGCTCTGTCTTATAGGTATCTACTGGCATTTTATCCCTTTTAAAAATAATAAGCTACAATTATTTATTAAAGTCAGTAAAGATTTTGATAAACAAGAAAGCAGACGTCTCACAGAAAGGTCTTCCTCACCAGAACACAGATGCTTGCCTGCAGAGTCAGCAGTCAAGGAAAAAGGCTCCAGCTCAAAACTGAACTCTGTACACACACTTCTCATAAATGATTTCTCCTTAACTGTCTCATATTTAAACACAGGAATCCCAGATGACTCTTATAACAGTGGTTCCCAGGTTTCATGGACAATAAAACATTTAATATATATGTATATGTTTATACACACACATATACACACAGGTTTGCAAATTTTTACTTGGCAAACTTAAAAATTATAAAAATAATGTTCAAAACAATTTAATTTTAAAAGGACATTTACTCTTTTTGGGGTAATGAAAATGTTCTGGAATTAAATAGCGATGATGGCTGGACAACTTTCTAAATATCAGGAAAAATCACTGAACTGAACACTTCAAAAGTGTGAATTTTGTGGTATATGAATTATATCTCAATTTTTTTAGAAAAAGGACATGGAACACCAAAAACAAATAGAATACAGAGAATTAAAGACAATTGGTACCCTATGCCAACATTTCCACTACAGACTAGTTAAAACTTCATTTTGGAGTTAGCCAGTGTTTGTCTGGGAACTGGAGTTTGGGAACAGCTGACCTGGAGAACAACACAGTATGGGGCTGGGAGAGAAATTCTAAAAGCTAGTATGAAACTGAACAGGGAACAAAGGAAAGGAGACCAAACAGCCAGGGCAAGCTAGTACAAAGAAGGAGACACCTGCTTGCTAAGCCTGAGGATAGGAATTAAGTTTTCTACAACCCAAAGACCTAAGTATGTTTCTCATCTCCCTGTTCTGCAAGATACTTCTGCTGTGGTTTTTCTCCATTCTTCTGGATGACTCTGGAAGCAAAGAAGACGGCTGAACATGCTAGAATATGAAGTGGAAACAGAAACATTTTAGGCCCCAGAGCCTGACAGGTGCTTACCTTACTTTGATCCTACAGGAGGAAGGCAGTGGGGCACAGTCTTCCTCTTTGAGGAAGAGACCCTGCACAAACCAGAGGGTTGGAATTTCACTTAAGGGAGTGTACATAGGAGCCCTACTTTGAGAGGATCCAGTCAAAAGAGAGTCCATACCTCACATATTCGTGGTGTCAGCCCAATAGAGGCCTGGAGAACAGAAGAAAGGACAGCATTACTGTTCACTCACAGTGATGCTCTCCCCACAACACCCAGGGACCATCCTCAGCAGGGAGATGGGCACATGGGCCCCTTGTGCTAGCCTCCTCGCTTCAGGGAGCTTAACTGGCAGCATGTAGAAGGCTCTATGTGCCAGTGCCCTCAGCAGACACTCATGGGAGGAATGCACGAGATGAGAGGCAGAACACCACAAGGATGAAAAAAGGGGAAGCCAGCAAACCCAGGTACCCTTTCTTGTGCAATGAAGGTTCCATCCTTCTTGGATAAACCCACTTTACCACTGTGGTCCTTCCCAGAACCTATCTGCTATCCCTACGTACAGGAGGACTAGGGTACACAGGTGTTCAAAACACACATTTAGAGAGAAGTAACTTCTCTTTCCATCTTGGATCCAGTGCTACCTTATACTCAGGTTAAGGGCTTTGTACCCGATTTAATGGGCATTTTCTTCTTTTAATCTCAAATATATAAAATCACATTAAACATGGACATAGTAAGCACTGAGCTGGGCCCAAGACAGCAGGAATAATCTCTCAGCAGGAATAGTGTCCTAGAGAGTGTCCCTGTATAGTGTTATTTGTCACCTGCCCCAGCAGTTCATCTCACCAAGGGACTTCTAAATCTAAAATAAAAAGAGGCATTTTTAAGGAACCCTTCTAATTTTCCATGATAAAAGAAGGCTCTCATAAGTCCTCCACACTTCTGAAAGCTCCTATCCCAGCAGTTGGCTCTCCTGCTTCTTTCTAACGGTCAGGTCTAACACACATGGCCTCGTTTCTGCACAGCCCAAGCCAGCACTTAAGATTCTGTCCAGGTCTTGTCAATGACATGAGAAATTCGGGACTGACAAAAGGTCTGCTTCATCAAAGGAAGCTGTAAATTTCTAAGGTTCTTCAGGGTTTAATAAAGACAGTTAATTATTCAAAGTTTACCTTTCGATTAAACTGCTGAGAAACCCATTCTTAATACACAAGAGGGTCTATTAAATCTTGTTAAAGGTAACTCTGAAACTCATTCTCTCTCTCCCCGGGGCAAGAACAATGCAAGATTCAGGCTTGCTGTGGCATTAGGAAGATACCTCATTGTAATACTAATAATACTCACTGGGGTCCCTAGCATGGTGTACGTCTTCCCAGAGCCTGTCTGTCCATAGGCAAGAAGGCATATGTTATAGCCTTTGGCAGCTCCAGATAGGACTTCAGTCCCCAAATCCTGGAACACCTGTAACAACAAAAGTAGAGAGCATGTCATTGTGGTCCTTCTTCCCACAGGAGATTCAGAATTATTTTTTCATCTAAAAATATTGCAAAATGCTTCAAACACACATGAGTATAAGTTCTTCACCATTTTCACAAGAATCAATTCAGTTTCAGAAAAAGATTGCTAAGAAAAGTCATTCACTCAAATACTTTTTAAAGTGCTTAGGGTTTGCTGGGCACAATGCTACACGCTGAAGGTACAAAATTGATATGGTCCCTAATCTTAAGGCAAAGACATTCAAGCAAATGATGAAGAAAGACCATGCACATTAATTCTTTTTCTTCCCATTACAAGAAAATGTTTCATATGGTTAATCAGGTAAAGCTACAATGAAATAGTGCCCGGAACATATACAAATTCAGGTTCTCAAGACACCACAGTGAGGAGTAGGTAAGCCCAAAAAATTAGAGAGGAATTTTCTCTATGGGTCTCTTTTCTATATGCTCCTTCCTCAGATGGATCCTAAGCGCTGTCTGGTTCTGCTGGTCACTTGTCTCTGTGGTGGTCAGTTTTACTGAATCAGAAACAGCCAGAGGTCCTCATGTGAAAAACCTTATACAGTATTCTGTGCGTGTCTGAAAGTCCTGTTAGGCAGACCCCAGTCTCAGGAAAACTCAGCCTGGCTTATAGGGAAGGCAGCTTCCCAGTTCAACCAGTTCTCAGCAGAAGGTTACATGGACATTTGCACCCCATGACTGTGGTGGATATCTACCCTGTGCATTATTGTTGCTCAGCATCCAAACACTCTTCAATTCGGGGGGGGGGGGGGGATCTCTGATTGTGTCAGTCTCGTTGGAAAGCAGGGCCCAACCCTCCAGGGCAGAAGCCAGACAGGCCAAATACTGCTCTCCCCTCCTGGCAACTAGGATACCAACATGAGAAATAAAGCCCACCAACTAGGTACTCCCACTTGGATTTTGAAAGAATTTCACAAAAACAAAGGAACAGTGGCATTGAGAGTCCCAATAGCACTACCTCTTGAACACACAGCGATACAAGTGCCAAGTGTGGTGACCAAATCAGGTTATTCTGAGATTCGGCTTTGCCTGGCTTCCCTGCTACCTAGAACTCCATGGTTTCCTAACCATTTTTCACCTTTCCCTTCAATTCTCTGAACCACCTGACATGGTTCCAAATTGGAATGTGGCTCTCATGCTTCATAGCTCTGTGCTCTTGAGCAAGTTACTTAAACTTTGTCAGCCTCTGTTTCTTAAACTGCAAAGTAGATATTTTATAGCTATATCAGAAATTTGCTATGAAGATTAAGTGACCTTGTTCTATGTTTTAGCAGCTACAATTATGCTTCTTGGCCAGTGAACTATTTATGTTTTATTTGTTTGTTGTTGTTAACGCTTCTAATATTCAGACACAGGGCCCAAAGAACGCGAGGAGTAGTGAAAGACTGGGGCCTTGTAGCACCCCCACCCCATTCCCCAATCTCCCTCCCAGCTCTATACCTCCCCATTTCCATTCATTTACTTCTATATTAGCAAAACTGAAAATCTGGCAGGGTTCTCTTTGACTCCTGACATCTGCCTGGGTTAAATTCCCAGGGATTGAAGAAGAAGGAGTCATTTCTCTTCATCAGAACACTTGAGTTGGCTGCCATCCATTTACGAGTTAGAAAATGTTCCACAAAACTCAACCTTTCTTTCTAGTGCCCCAGCAGGAAGTGGGAACAGAGACGCAGGCAGAGCAAGGCCACATCCAGTCCAAATGTTATTTCTTCTCATTGCTCACACACAGCTGAACAGAGTGTGCTCAGCAGATTGTGAAGAAAAACAATAGAATGTTACTTTGTCCGTGTTTTTATCCAGGTTCAAATAATTTCCTGGAAGTTTTATGAGAAAACATATTTGAAGATACCATTTTCATTCAACAGTAAAAGACATCAACAGGCAAAACCAGAAGGCTCCAAACCTAGAATTGGTAGAAATCATTAAGATGCAGCTACATTCTTCAAGAACTATGAGGCTTAGCTCATCATAAGATCCAAGAGAAAGCCCAGTCCTAAATAGAGTACAGCAGGGCCACATGACACCATGGTTCACTCTCACCATGATAATACTATAATGAAGCCGATGGAAACAGCTCAATGTGAATACCAAGAAAAGTTTAAAGCTAAAAAAAGCCACCAAAATGCAATTGAAAAAGCCGAAGGGTCTAGTTCAGGAGGAGAGATGAGCAGTGTGATTTTTTTTTTCCTGGAATATAAATAGACAACAGCGTTAAATCCACAAATTAACTATATGTAATATAACACTTCCAGTCTTTTTTAAGTACTAGATAGGGGACTGACCACTAGATGCTATTATATGGGGACTCCCAAAATCTGAAGTAAAAACCAAAAGCCCTACCAATACCCATTTCCTAAGGGCAAATGAATCTAGGAATCAGAATTTTTTCAAAAATAAGTTTTCAGAAGAATGAGAAAACAAGCAACAGACTGGAGAAAATATTTGCAAAAGACATCTGATAAAGGACTGTTATCTAAACTATACAAAGAACTCTTAAAACTCAACAACGAGTGCTGGCCGAGTGGTGCATTGGTTAAGAGCTGGCTTGGGACGCAGAGGGCCCTGGTTTGGATCCCACATATGAGGGCCAATGACACTGCCCTCTACAGCTAAGATGCTAAACAACAGCTCAACCTGG